GGGGGGGGCCACTTTTTATCAGGGAGTGTAGTGATAGGACGAGGGGTAACAGTTTTAAGCTGAAAGAGGGTAGATTTAGTTTAGATATTAGGAATAAGTTTTTTACTGTGAGGGTGGTGAGGCACTGGAACAGGGTGCCCAGAGAAGCTGTGGATGCCCCATCCCTGGAGGTGTTCAAGGCCAGGCTGGATGAGGCTTTGAGCAACCTGGTCTGGTGGAGGGTGTCCCTGCCCATGGCAGGGGGGCTGGAGCTAGATGATCTTTAAGGTGCCTTCCAACCCAAACCATTCTATGATTCTATGATAAAACCAGCTACTATTCATAGTCTTGAACTTCTGCTTCCTCATGGCCAGGGGAGGTGGAGTGCAGACATGCATAGTTCCTTACCTGAACAAAGGGATGAGCAGTCCGTCTCTCTGCAGAGGCAGTGCACCATGTTTTCTTAGCACTGAAGAGCTTTTGTTATGCACTGAGAAATTCAACAACAGAACAGCAGGAGTCCTCATGGAGTTGTGTATTTAAACCTTTCAGCTCAATAACCATTTGCAGCATTTGTGGGTTTTGGAGTTTGTTATTGTTACTCGTGCTCTTTCGGTTGAAGAGGGAGATGCTTTATTGTTGCTTTTTTTTTCTTTTTCTTCTCAGGACTGTATGATGGTGGGTCTACATACATGTGGTGATCTTGCTGCAAATACCCTACGAATTTTTACTGCCAAGCCTGAAATAAAAGCAGTTTGCAGTGTAGGCTGCTGCTACCATCTGTTGTCAGAACAGTTTGAAAACCAAGAAGGTAATTCTTCTGAGCTTAACTCGTGGCTGCCAGTTTGCATGTTGAGAGTACTCTGCCTTTTAATTAATAACCTCCTTGTGTTTGTTCCTTTCCAGTGGCTTATTTAGTACTGGTTTTAATTGCATTATGTGGGTCATTCACTCCCAGATGCCCTGTAGCTTTTCTGTTATGCCAGTATTCCTAATATTCCTAGTGAAATTAGGGACATTAATATAGAATGTTTTTATGTGGTTATGAATACATCTGGTTTTATTCCATATCTTCACTTGTAAAATGTGGAGGCTTTTTTAGTTCAATATGTTTTCATCCTTTTGAAATATTTTGTACCAGATTTTGCCATTGGCTGTCTGCATGCAACGTCCATTTATGTTAAATTGTACATATACAACTATGAGCAGAATTAAGTCCTTGTAATGTAAGTTATTACTCCAAAAAACACTCATCTGAGTGCTGTGCTCTGGGGCATTGCCAGTTTAGAACATGTTGGAAATGTACATATATAACAGTTTCTCTTGGGAAGAAAACCTGAAAATTATTTGGGGAATCACACTATAAGCAAATTTTCCTTCAAATGTGGGTTTTTTTTCATTTTTGATGGAAAGTTGTTATCTCTACTTGAAAAGTAAGTTCTGCATAATGAAAAACACTAAGTAGCTGGCTTTCCTGAGAACAAGTGGTATGTAGTCAAGCTGTCTAAATGACCGTCTGCCAAAGTCCTAGAACCTGATCATCATATCAACCAAATTTTAGAGAGGTGTGGATTGGCAAAGTTTATTTCAGCTCTTTTAGGGAGCTTCATGGACAGAAAGGCAGGTGGAACCCAGCTGCTGCTCTTTAACAGTTGGCTGCTCAGGCAGCTAAGGCACAGCTCCAGACTGACCATGACATATAAGCTCTTGCTTGTTTTAATAACCTTTTCATCTTGTTTTTGTCTTGCTCTGCAGCAATTTTAAGAGGTTTTGCAATGTATGTTTCAGTTATTTCACAATACTTCAGATCACCCCAAGAACAAAGAAAAAGAAAATACAGTTGAAATTTCTAACTTACAGAAATGGAATTAGTAAAATCAAACAATTACGTCTGCATCAGAATTTTTAAAAACTATTAACTTTTCAGGCACTTGTCATTAAGTTTGTACGTCTGAAACATTTGGTTGTTTCTTATTATTGCGAAGAGGACACAAATTCCTGTTCTAGCTGTAGGACTACGTTTTCCAGACTAGTGGATGAGATTTTACTAAATTATTGTTACTCAGACACCACCAAAGGATCAGGTGCATGCACCACATGCATGGTGGTAAGAGATACTGCAGTTTCATAGCAGTGTGGAAGTAAAGCCAAATTGCGTGTTGCAGTTTCTAGTTGTTTGATTTTTCCCAGTTTGAAGGATAAAAATTATTCTCAAAGAATAAAAGGAAATGACGGTATTCTTTGTTTTGATTTGTTTTGTTTTGTTTTAGTTTTGGGAAGGAACACATAAGTATTTCCAGTGATGCTCAATTTTTATTTTTTTTACTATTACTATGCGGGTACATATTCTGAAATATAAAGTGCTGTTATATTGCCCTGCAAAATTAATCTACTGTATGGCTTGTTTGTAAATGTGCAGTGGCTGGGTAAGAACACAAGGACCAACAATATCTAAGAGCTAAAATTTCTTCAAAGGGAAAATGGGAGAGATTTAGGAGTATAGCTTGTGTCTATACTTCCTTTGCATGGATTTCAAACTGACAAAGCATTCTAGAGGACTCTAACTAATCAGATGGTATGGATCTGACAATTCACTTGTACAAGAAGTAAACTAGTTTGTCTTGCAGCTGTTTGAGGCAAGTGAATTTTGGTACTACTTCCAAAATGGACCAAATCATAGAGTTGTGATGAAATAATTTAACTTGCAAGTGGCTTTCTGGAGGTCATCTGGTCCAGATCATGGTGCAAGGCAGGGCCAACTTAGATCAGGTTGTTTAGGGTCTTGTCCAGTCATGTTTTGAATATCTCCAAGGGCAATGATTCAGCAGATGATTACAATGTTTGCCCTCACCATTAAGTTTTTTTTTTCTCATATCTATTCAGAATTCAGGGCCAACTTAGATCAGGTTGTTTAGGGTCTTGTCCAGTCATGTTTTGAATATCTCCAAGGGCAATGATTCAGCAGATGATTACAATGTTTGCCCTCACCGTTTTTTTTTTCTCATATCTGTTCAGAATTTGCAGCTCTTGTGCATTATCTATTTTCCAGCTTAATCTTTTCTGTTGCCTTTCCTTTAGGTAGTCAAAGAAAGCAGTTAGATCCCTCCTTGACCTTCTCTGCAGTCCTCTTGCCCCTCTTGCCACCACTGATCTCATTCCAGTAAGTCAGTGTGGTGGGCTGGAGAGCCCAAAGAACTCCAGATACTCTCACTCTCACAAATGCTAAAAAGGGGTAATAATCACATCCCTTAACCTGCAGGCTTCACTGTTAAGTTTCAGAGTCCTACCAATTTTCTACCCACCTTAGAGTCCAGCTGTCTGAGTCATATCTTTCCAATTTGTCTATAAAGATATTAAGGAAACTTGCTGAAAGCCATACTAAAGTAAAACTGTGACTATACTCTCCCCTAGTTCATGGAGACAGTCACTGCATCATAGAAGGCAGTAAGTTTGTCAGTCCCTGGTAAATTCCTGACAGCTATTCTCAATCTCCTTCTTGTTCTTCCTGGGCCTGGGCATGGTTTCCAGGAAAATTTGCTCCATAAGCTTATTGAGAACTGAGCTTAGACTGAAGATGGGTGTGATGGGTTTTTCCGGTCATCAGGAACTTTCCTTGATGGATGTGATTTTTCAAGGATGATAGAGCGTGGCCTTTGTGTGATACCAGGCAGTTGCCTCAGCTTCCTGAAATGCATCCCATCTGGTCACGTGCACTTGTGTATTTCCAGTTTGCTTGTATGGTCCCTGAGCCAGTATGTAATAATCTCTGCTGTAGGTAGTGCTTCACTTGGCCAGGCTCTGACACTAAATTCGGGGAAGCTAGTGGCTAATCTAGGCATCAACCAGAGATTGCAGAGACCTGTGGAAGCCTTATGTAGAGAGACTAGTTTAAGTGTTAGAATGCAGACTTTGAGCTAGATCTCTGGGGTGACTGATAGAATGTCTTCCTAAGAAGCAGAGACAATTGAGTGGAATTTGTTGCAATGTAGGAAATCACTTATTAGTTTGAAATCAGTCCAGTAAGCAAGGGCTTATCTGCAAGGACACAGTGGGAAGTTCTGTTGCAAAGCACTTTATACTTATTTTATCTTGACTTAGTAGCTTCAAGGCTTCGAAGTTTTAAAAAAATGTGTTTTTAAAATGTCATTGATCTATCTTATATTTAAATTATTTTGTGCGCAGTTTAAAAGTGTTTTTATTTTCTTGAGGTGCGCACCCTTAAGGACAAGGTTGACGCAAGTCCACTTCAAGTCTCTTTCCCCCAAAGTAGCACGTTTTCCATCTTTGCTATTTCTTCAACGTAAATGTGGATGGTTGTTCAAATAAGCCTAGTTGAAGCAGATGTGCCAGCTCACAAAAAAGCTGCTGTGGACTGATGGTTGCAATAACTTGAGGTGACTGGGCTGTATGCTGTTTGGCAGTTAAGTTTTATTTAGTACAAAGATCAGTCTTGTTTGAGGCCACTGAAAAATTGCTTTTTCACTTCGTGTTAACTGGAATTAACTTATAGTCATGGGAAGAAGTTTTACCTGTTTCGATGGCTAATGTAGTGTTTATAACTCTGAAGTGGTGACTTGGCAAAATGTCAACAAAATGTTACTAAGCTATTTTTGGCGGGCTGTTGAAACACCTTGGTTACCACAAGTTGGTTTTTGGGTTTTTTTTTGGTCTCTGAGGAGCCGACTCCAGGGAATAATGCCTTACATTTCTCACATATTCTAAAAATAGTAAAGGTATTGCAAGATTGCCTGGTTCAGTTTGCTTTTGGACCTGCTGTTAAGACTTTGGGAGAATCTCTGATGAACGTAGGCATCGGTACTCACAGTCTTGAATATTGCAATCAATATAAAGTGTCCTTCCGTGTGTCTATAAATAAGCTAAATTCTGGAATTTTTTGTAATGGGACTTCCAATTATGCTGGGAATAATTTTGAACTCCTAAGATCATGAAAACTTTTGTTTTGATTTATTAGTAACAACAACAACCAAAAGGTGCTATGTAATGTCAAACTTCAATTAAACTAAAAAAAGTTGAAGCCAGTGACTTTTAACACCTGTCTTTAAATTTCATTGCAAGCAGTACCAAATACTAAATTTCAGTTAATAAGGAATATTATGACAGCTCTTGGAAAATTCAAAGTAGTTTTATTTTTACTTTCTCTAAGGAGAATTGGCTGTTTATGCAGAGATTCTTCTATGGATAAAATGCACTTAGCCATTAGTATAATTGATTCCTTTGGGGTTTTTCTTCACTGTTACTGCATTGGATAGTCAATTGCATCAGAGTAGTAAGGATTTTACTATTTGTTAGAGACTTCTTACATAAACCTATTTACATAGTGAGCTATTATGTCAGTTTTTCTGGAAAAAGTCAATTTGCTAATGATTTTTAGGTTAAAGCAAACTCTGTGCCTCTGTTAGGGAGCCATTCTTAGGATTTTTGGGAGCTGTTTTATCTTACATTCAGCTAATACATTTCTGGGGCAATGTACCAGCTGGACTATGATTATTTCTTAACAGGCAGTAACTTCAAATTTAAGATATTTTCAAAAAGACTTGACTTTCCTTAAAAAGGAATTGATGCGTTCCTGTATTGTGATTCTCTTCCTCCCATCCTCTGTACCAACAAACACATCAGTACCAGTCTAGAAACCAGGGAAATTCTTCAGTTCCTCTGTTTTGAGGAAAAAAACACATGGACATAACTATTGCTAAGGAGCTACTTATTTATAAGTATTTAATAATTTGAAATAAGACATAGCTGTAGTTGTCTAGGTAGTTTCAATGGTAGCTGTCTGATAGAAACCCTTTT